GGCAGCTGCAGTGGCCCGGCGAGCGCGGCGAAGGCCGCCTGGTGCGGCGGCTGCCACGGCAACCACGGCGGCGCGGGGGCGGCGATGGGCGCTGCAGGCGCGGCAGGAGCCGGCCCCGGCCACTGCGGGGCGGCGGTGGACGACAGCTGCAGCTGGGGCAGTAGCGTCCCAGCGAATGCCACGGAGGCCCCTGGATGCGGCGAGTACCACGGCAGGGCCGGCAGCCCGGCGATGGCGGTCAGCGGCAGGGGCGGCGGCGGCCCGTAGGGGCTGGCCAGGTATAGCCGGATCCCCTGGACGGCTGTGACGAGGTCGTTGAGGACCCCAGTGATCTCCTCCGGGGTGTAGACGGCGGACGGTGGTGCGGTGGAGGGCGCCGACATCTGGGCGGTGGCGGCGCCGGAGGATGCGACCAGCGGCGCGAACGGGGAGGGCAGCGGCGCAGTGTAGATGGCCAGCGGCGCGGTGGTGACGGTCGGCAGCGGGAGCGACGGGGTGGGAGGCGACGAAGACATGATCGGAACTGAGCTACCTGATACCAAATTGTTATGGCGCTGCTAGAAGGAGGGCGCGAGAGGGCCGGCCGGGGGCCTTTTTGCCCACGGCCGGGCAAGAGGGAAGGGATTTCCTTCTTAATTCTTGCTTGATTAGATTGATACATCTCCTCTCTTTATATAGAGAGGTTTACTTGACTCCCAAGCAAGGCTTACTTGACTCCTAAGCAAGCGACTCTTATCTCTAATTAACCCTAAGACTAACGGGCCCATTAGGGCCATTACGTACTCTAACACAACTACTGGGGGTAAAATCAAAGCTACTTATCGCATGGCCATTTTGTAAAGACGGTTTCACCAAGCAGCCAATATCCTCCGCGACTGTGAGAGAGAGCCAAGGATGAAGAAAAAGGATACTCCCTCCGATCCATATTAATTGTCGCTGATTTAGGACAAAGTTGTACTAAATCAGCACATATATGTAGGTGGTGCAAGGTTAGCCTTGAAACAATCTCGATTTGAACATGGCTAGATAGCAGCACGGCATTTCTTTCTGATGCATTTACATGAGACAGCTAGCAGTAGGAAAAGCATAAATTCCAGAGTGAGCAGGCAACCTCGAATGAAGGTTCAGATGTGCGCTTCCCTCAGAAGCTTCACACGAAATGCCTTTCCATTTTGAACTGTGCTTTCCATTCCTGATACATATCGTCGGTTGTCATATCCTCAAAGCTAGGGGCTCACCCTGCACATCCTGTCTTGTTCAATGACAGTGATATACTTTTTGAGATAACAAAAAAAAATGTAATATAAGTTTTTGAGGAATTTTTTTATGAGTGATTGTTTGATCCAAATATATAGCTCTAGTACAACAGTGCAGTTACACAACACCATAGCCTGTTAGAAACGAATTTCGTCTCATGTCTGCCAGAGTCTAGAAGCATATTGCTCTCAGTTATTTCCTCATTTACCTATTAATGCCATATACCCAATGTACGATACTGTTCCTCATAGTTGTGTGTTCCATGCCAAATGAAACATGGGATCCGTCCTTCGGGTGTTCGAATTAAAACAGATGCCTGGTAAAGCTAGCTCTGGTAACCAGTAATTAACTCAGAGTTCTGACCAGTTAACATGTGCTCTGGAGAGTCTACCTTAGGTTCAGTGATTTTTCCCTTTAGTGGGGGAAAACATGCATGAATGGGAATAAGGAGGTGGCTGACTACCTGCCAAAATAAAGGGCCTAGGAAAGTCGGATGCTACTTGATGAATGATAATTATGTGGCGTGTCACTTGCTTGACGATGTGAACAAGTTCTGCTTTATGCCTACACTAGTTGAGCCACTGCTCATATAAATTCTTAAGCCTTGAAATAAGTAAGCCGGATAAATACGGAATTCCTTTAACATCTCCCTTGTGCTATATGCTTGGCTCATTGAGCTAAATATGAGATGTTCCGTACTGAATCATGTGCGTTTGAAGAAATGCAACTCTCATGTCGGTAAAATTTCCCAAATTAAGCTCAAATTTTACAGCTGCCCTTTAAATAAAACTCCCAAAAATAAGCTCTAGTTTACAGACCCATTGGCATTCTGGATGGAAATAACATGCCATGCTTGCCACAACATACATAATACACTTCTGGATGGATAGCTGGTTTCCATCGGACTTGCCATATACAAGTATTAAGATGAGAGCATAAATTGTTTCCCAAACCAGCGCTAATGTGGACCTAAAATTAGAAAACGATGAATTAACTTTCTGTCTTAGTCGAAGAGAATTAGCTAACCAATCAGGTGTTCCTCTGGTTTTCAGTTATCAAAAATCAGAATGATACAGGAAATGTCAAGCTAAAAGATCAGAAGACTGGTCTATTTGAAGTTGGTCGTAAGACTGAGCTTGAAATATGTACTGGTGATCATACAAAGGTACATGTCCAGGGCACGAACGAACATTACAAGTTCTGAACACAACAAACAAAGACCGGATAAGTACCTTGCTCATCTATAGCAGCAGTAGCAGGTCATCCACTGTTTGCAAAATGCACCCGTATGTTCTTCCCATCAAGCACCTGTAACAATCATCATGTGGGAAAAATGTGTCAGCATAAGTAAAAGAACTGCACTGAGCACTGCATATTATCTTGCAGGAACTTGGCTTCTTCTGCTATACCTACAGAATCCGTGAAGCACAATTCTTACCTCATCGCTCATCTTCTCCAATGCCGCAGCAGCTTCTTTTTCCGAGGAGAACTTGACGAAACCGTATCCTTTTGATTGCCCGGTCACAGGATGGCATATCACTTTGACTGTCAGGCGCATTGATCAGTCCGAGGACAATCCCCTAATCAGCAAAAAGATTCAGAGCAGATAAATCTGTACCTTGGATAACATCGCCATGCTGAGAGAACGCATCCTTGAGAGCAACTTCATTGGTGTCATAGGACAGGCCTGAAAAACTCGGTGGAAAAAACAGCAGGGCATCAAAACATCCTGAACCATTCATACGTCAGCACAGTTCTTGCATTTGTTCAGTGTTCACACAGATACTTCCTAACATTTACATTTATTTAAGATTGAACTCGCTGCTTGCACGGAATTTCATTGGACGAAATAAATACATTGTGCTAGCAAAATCAGCAAGCAGGATGGTTTAGAAACTAGCATGACCTGGATAAATCTGGCAGGTCTCCAACGGAGAAGAGGTTCAGGTTCAGGCATCAATCAGATTGACCAGAAACTGAACCCCAGGCATCCTGAACCATAAGTCAGCAGCATTCTTGCATTGCGCAATGCTCAAACAGATTTCTCCTAGCACTTGCAGTTTTTTCAGATTGGACAGAGCGTTTGCACCAAATTCACCAGACAGAATAATGCACTATTTTTGCTAGCAAACAGCAAGCAGGATGATTGAGGAACTAGCATGATCTTCCTAAGCCGGTTAGCAAATTGCCATATAGGACACCCGCCAGATCTCGAACACAGGAAAGATTGGGGTCCAAGCACCGAACAAACTCCCAAACCGAATACCAGGAGAACACGAGAATGGGATCGACGAATCTTACCTCCGACGAACAGTTTGGGGCCTGACGAGAAAGCGGCGCTCCAATCCAGCAGCTTGCCCGCCGGAACCCTAGCATGGAGCGCAGCCTTTCTTCCCCAATTCAGCATCGCCTTTCGCCTATGCTACGAACCCTAGAAATAATCCCCAAATCCTTCGATCCCCAGATCCCCTTCCCCGCAGATCGGTTGACCCCCTAAGAAATTTCACAAACCACACCTCACTGAACCAAGTTATTGCCAAATCGCCCCCAAGAACACCTAACCAGGTGAAATTGTGGGAACAAATGTACAGACGAACAAGGGGATCAAGGCAAGAACCGGCAAAATTTCGCAAAATTGACACGGAAAAGATTGGAATTGGCTAAACGATCAAGTTTCCAGCTTCAATTCAGCGGTGATTCAAGATCAATCGACGCTACAGACTACCACCAGTTCGGACTCCAGACCAGGCATTACATACAGGATCCCATGCTCTCTCTCTTTCTCTCCCCTCTCAGATGCAGAACTACGCGACGCAAGTTGGCCCTGTCTACTCGTCGGCGGCGGCCTCCTCCTCGGCGTCGGCGGCAGCCTTCTTGTCGGCGGCGGCGGTCTTCTTGTCAGCGGCGGCGGTCTTCTTGTCAGCGGCGGTCTTCTTGTCGGCGGCCTTCTTCTTGGGGGTCTTCTTGGCGGCGGGTGCGGGGGCGGGGGCCTTCCTCTTGGGCGACTTGGGCGACTGGGACTCCTTCTCGGCCTTCTCGAGGGCCTTCTTGGGGAGCAGCACGGGGTTGATGTTGGGGATCACGCCGCCGTGCGCGATGGTGACGCCGGCGAGCAGCTTGCCGAGCTCCTGGTCGTTGCGGATGGCGAGGAGCAGGTGGCGCGGCACGATGCGGGTCTTCTTGTTGTCCTTGGCGGCGTTGCCGGCGAGCTCCAGCACCTGCGAATCCATCCAAAGAACCGAGACAAGATCGGTCAGCACTCCGGCGAGCGCGAGAAAGAAGAGGGGAGGAACAGAGCACGGGATCGGTTGGGTGGTTACCTCGGCGGCGAGGTACTCGAGGACGGCGGCGAGGTAGACGGGGGCGCCGGAGCCGACGCGCTGCGCGTAGCGGCCCTTCTTGAGGAAGCGCCCGATGCGGCCGACGGGGAACTGGAGGCCGGCCTTGGTGGACCGGGTCACCGCTTTCTTCCTCTCTCCGCCCTTCCTGGCCATCTCTCCTCCCTCTCCGGCGAGCTCGAACCTCTCGGAATGCGGCGGGCGGCGGCGGTGGATGGAAATGCTTCGAATTTGGTGGCGTCTGCCGGCGGCGAAGGCGCCGGTTTTATAGGGGGGAGGGGGGCTCCGAGGGAGGGGCCGCGATCCGCGTGACGTGCTCTCACCGCCGTCGGATCTGGGAGGGCGAGCGGTCAGGATCGGTTCGAGGGGCGCGATCCGTGGGAGGGCCCGATCGGCCAATCAGAGCGCAGGGATTTTTCCCTCCGTTTCTTTCCTTTCGTGCGGGAAATGAGTTCGAAAATTTGGGGGCGGCGGGAATACGCGCTCTTTTCAGGCGGAGGGGTTTTCGGTTATGTTATTTTTGGTAATTAATTATCCCATTTTGTTGCTGGTATATTGATGAGTGGAATTTCTGTCGCATAATTACATCGTGGTAAGTTCATCATTATGCATGGATCAAAATAGGGGTTGGGATATGCCCATTACGCAAACTCGTCCTCCTCCGGAGATTGCATGTTTGGCAGCGCCCGGTGCCCTCCTTCGGCGTCGGGCGTGGCTCCCCTTCCTGCAGATGCTGCTCTGGCCTATGATCGGCCGCCTCATCTTTGATCTGTGCTCCGACGACTTGGGATTGCTCGGAATTTGGCCGGGGCGAAATCCATGCATATTGTGTTGGCAGTGGCGACACCCACGGGTGTCGTCCCCTTCCTGGAGGCGCTGCCATGGCCATTATCCATGCCCCTCTTCGAGCATCAAAGGAAACCCTAGGTCCGGTTTTCCGGACCAAACAACGATGACGTCCCGGTGTCGTTCTCCTTCGTGAAGGTGTTGTCTTGTTTTGCTTGCGGCATACTCCGTGTTAGATTTGGAGATGTTTGGTCGTTTAGTTGTTGGTTGGGTAGCTTCTCTGGTCGACGATTTTAGTTGTGTTCTTCTTTTGTTTTGGGTCGAGTATCTCTTATCTCTCAGCTTCGGGCACCATGTTCACGCCCCTTATGTTCGTGTCATGTGTTGTACCACCTCATGTATTCATTCTATCTTCTTCTATCAATGAAATGATATGCAAGATTTGCATATTCGTGAAAAAAATACGCCCATTTTGCTCTGTGGGATGAACGATCCGGTGTGACACGAGTTGAGTGGGTATAGGGCATGTCTGGATGGTGCCCTCACCACGGTACCAAATGCCAAGTTATTTAAATAAAAGGTTAATGCCCTCACCACGGGATGTGGTGGGCAGCGGCGGCGATGGATGGGAATGCGTGGAATTGCTTCGAATTTGGTGGCGTCTACCGGCGACGAGGGCATCGGCTTTATAGGGGGAGGGGGCTCCGCGGGTGGGGCACGATCTGCGTGACGTGCGCTCCCCGTTGTCAGATATGGGAGGGTGGGCGGCCAGGATTGGTTCAAAATTTTGGGGGCAGTGGAAATAGGCTCTCTTTTCACATGGAGGGATTTTCGACTCTGTTATTTTGGGTAATTACCCCGTTTTTGTTTTTGGTATGATTTGGGTGGCATTTTTGTGTGGTAGAAGGCTAGATTGTATGATTACATCGTGGTAGGCTGATCGTTACACGTGGATCGAATATGGGTTGGGCTATGCACATTTCACTCTGCGAGTTGAACGATCAGAGTGACACGAATTGGGTGGGTGTATGGCATGTCTGGATGGCGCCCACACCTACCGTATCAAAACGGGGCATGCTAATTGGTTGGCGAAGATTTTGCCATCGCGGGATTGTCATGTTGTTGGCAGAAAAACTGAATGCGATGGCTAAAAAGTTGGTTAGATCCGAAATTTTGACGGCCATCCAAATGCTCACCCTCGTTCTTAGTTAACAACGAAACTTTCATGAAAAGAATGAAAAGTTTTCATCATTATCGGAAAGGAGAAGTGAGGGATACAGCTTGTAGGCATGTCACTGCATTAATGTAGAATGTGGTATTATTAGTGGACTCCATGGTTTGAAGTCATTATGATGCTAGTTCATGATGGCCTTCTTGGAGAACAACACAGTGTATGTTGGGTAACACGCAACTATGGGCGATGGTGATGTCGTCAAGCAGCTTGGCGAGCTCCTCGTTGTTGCGAGTGGCGAGTAGTAGGTGAAGTGACATGATTCGGGTCTTCTTGTTGTCATTGGCTGCGTTGCCCGCCAGTTCTAGCATCGGTGTTCAAATAGCACACCGAGAAGAGATCACTTACCGCTCTATCGGGCACGAGAAGAACATGAATGGGCTATATCAATGGTTGGGTGGTTACCTCAGCGACGAGGTGCTTGAGGACGACTGCGAGGTAGACTGGGGCGCCAGAGCCGATGTGTTGCGCGTTTGGCTATGTGGCAAGCAACGTAGCGGTGGTGGTGGAATTTCTCCTTGGTCGTGTGGATGACAAGGAGGGAGGCGACATGAAACCTGGTGGTGGCGGTGCTTCTGCAGCAGTGTCACCCAGAATGTTGTGGAGGTCTGTTTTGGTGGCAGGGGACTTGGACCGTGGTATCTCGGTGTGGCATGGGTGAGACCGCGGGGCAAAAGCTTCGTGCTTCCGCACCAGTGGCGCTGATGCATGTGGGTGTCGCGTCCCTCTTGGGAGCGTCGTTGTGGTTCTCCTTCGTGTCAGGGCTTCTGGAGAAAACCCTCGGTCGTCTTTCGATCGCGGCGATGGCGGTGTGTGGCATCGTCACCCTCTTGGGGACGTTGCCATGGAGCTCGGGCACCCTTCGGTTATGTCTCTTCGACATCGGCAAGTGAGCTCGGATCCTCCTTCTCGATGCCCCTTTGGCTCTAGCAAGAGGTGTTCCTAGCGGCTTCTTATCTTTTACACATGACTTTGGTGGCATCGCTCTCGGTCCTCGGTGTCTACACGCCGGATCGGCACTTGACGGCCCAGAGCGAGAGGACAGGGGGTCCTCTCAGGCGACAACTTGGTGTGTGTGTTCTGTCGAAGTCTGATGGTCTCTCTCAGAAGCACGAGTTCTCTTCCTGTCAGTAGCCTCGGGTGTTTTGTCTTAGGATGTGGGCACTCTTGTAATCTCTTGTTTTATCTTTGATCTGCTTTGTAAGAGGATTTCCTCATCACCTTGTATCGGTTCGGCCATGTTGCTTTATTTATAATACGGGGCGAAAGCCTTTTTAGGTAACCAAGGGGATTGGAGTGATGGCGGCCTAGTACAGTTTATTGATACTTTTATTTTTTTTTCATTTAAACCACCATGGGATGTGAAGGTGAGATTAAAATCATGATACTTCTCTTTCGCAAATTAGCAACTCTTCCATGTCTACATGGTCACGGGCACGCACTACAACCGGCATGCAACTGCAATAGGCACACCACACAATCAACTAGGGGTGTGGGGTGATGACCCACAAGTATAGGGGATCTATCATAGTCCTTTCGATAAGTAAGAGTGTCGAACCCAACGAGGAGCAGTAGGAAATGATAAGCGGTTTCCAGCAAGGTATTCTCTGCAAGTACTGAAATAAGTGCTAACAGATAGTTTTGTGATAAGATAATTTGTAACGAGCAACAAGTAACAAAAGTAAATAAGGTGCAGCAAGGTGGCCCAATCCTTTTTGTAGCAAAGAACAAGCCTGGACAAACTCTTATATGATGTAAAGCGCTCCCGAGGACACATGGGAATATTGTCAAGCTAGTTTTCATCACGTTCATATGATTCACATTTGGTACGTTGATAATTTGGTATGTGGGTGGACCGGTGCTTGGGTGCTGCCCTTACTTGGTCAAGCATCCCACTTATGATTAACCTCTATTGCAAGCATCCGCAAATACAACAAAAGTATTAAGGTAAACCTAACCATAGCATGAAACATATGGATCCAAATCAGCCCCTTATGAAGCAACGCATAAACTAGGGTTTAAGCTTCTGTCACTCTAGCAACCCATCATCTA